CACCCGCCCCCAAGAGCGCAACATGGGCAACGAACACACAGACAAAAACCAGCGATGCCATATCACGGGCCGGCGGAATGAGCGAAGCGATTCAATAATTCACCAATCGCAACTGGTAGCGCCGTGCCACGATGCGGCCATACCTCTCTTGCGATAGCACCACCACTACGCATTCTGGAATCATTGGGGATGCGCCTCCTTGAGGAATGCCACGAACGGAGGGGCTGTCCAGACCGGTGGCGCCAGCTGTGGTGTAAGTTCCACCTTGCAGCAAAGCCATGGTCGATCAAGCAAACCCTCAAGTCGTCGATCAGCAGACGCTACCCTGGGCACGTCATCGCAGCTGTGCGCAGTCTGGTAGCCGCTGCATACGCCAACATCGATGTGAACTTCGGACCGCTAATCGACTCGAGATTGAAGCAGTCCTGGAGCCGTAGCATCGAGCTAGGTGCACGAAGGATGCGAGCAATACTGTGCCTCCGGCTCTGCGCTACCACCCGAGGCAGCGGGACTAGTTACGCAATGAAACTCATGACACGTAAAGCACGCTCGCGGTAAAGTGCCGCCATGGTTGCAAGCGGCGCGCCACACCTGCTGATGTCCAGTACTCGTTGGTGGTGTTTGTGCAGAGGGTTGACCCATTGAAGATCAACACTGGCAGCAGGGCCGAGCTGGAAGCCCAAGTGCGCGCACACATTCACAATCACAGAAAGGCCCCACGCTCTGTCCACGGATGCCAGAGCATTGCGAAGAGGAGGAGGGAGAAGGAGGAGGAGAACAACGACGAGGAGGAGAACTTGAACGTGTTCAAATCGCCCATGCATGCGCGGCAACCCCCTGCGCGGCCGAAGAGGCAGCGAGGGCGAGACCACGAGCGGCGAGCATTTCCATCTTCTCGCACCCTGGGGCGCGAGCGCGGGTACGGTGTCGCACGGATGCGTCCCGCGCAGGGCCTCCGCGAAGAAACGCCGGGTCGCGGCCCAGGGGCCCAGCCCGCGAGGCCGCAGATACGGACATGTTCTTCGCCCACGAAGATCGGCGGCGAGCCCACGGGCGAAGTGAGAAGGAAAGGGCCTTCTCAGAAGGCTCGGCAGTCCCCTGGCCTCCTGAGAAGTTTCCTCAGCCTTCCCCGAAGACACAAAACAAAATCCGCCGACCTCTTGGGGTTCATCGGCGTGTGAGATGTTCCCCCTCCCCAAACTCCCCCCCCGGAGCCCGGTCCGGTCGATTAGGAGGGGGGGGGTCGGATCAAATCCCCGGGAGGGGCCATCCGCTCCCGAAAATCGTGCAAAACCTCGTGACAAATCGTGCAGGGACTCCTCTGGTGGCCTCGAAATGGCTCGGGGACGCCCAACGAGCGCTCCAAGACGCCCAAGGTGGCCCAAAGACGGGCCACGAGGCCTCCTCGACGGCAGAAGAGGTCCCCACGAGTCCCCCAGAGGCCTCCGAGATGCGCCCCAAGAGGGTCCCTAGACGCAAAAATTGGCCCATTCCCCTCGTGAAACGTACATTTTTCACAAGAAGCCTCTAAGAGGGTCCCCCACATACCCCTAGAGGGCCCCAAGACGGGCCAACAGGCGTCCAAGACGGCCCAAGAGGGCTCCGAAAACGGCTCCAAGAGCGCTCCAGGAGCGCTCCAAGTGGCTTCCCAGAGAGCTCCACATGGTCCCAGACGGTCCAAGAGCGATCAAAAACACCGAAGGACGGCCTCCAGACGGCTCCAGAGGCCCCCAAGACGCCCCAAGAGACATCCAAGATGCGCCCCAAGAGGGCCTCTAGACGCACAAAATCGCCCGCTCCCTTCGTAAAACGTATATTTTTTCACACGTGCGCCTTTTGGGGTTTCCCCTGCTCCTGGACGGCCCCAGAGCCCCCCAAGACCGCACCAAGACGGTCCAAGAAGCCTCCAAGAGGGTCCCACGACAGCCCCAGAGGGCGCCAAGACGGCTCAAGAGGCGCCGAGGACGGCCCAAGAGAGCCCCGAAGACGGCCCCAAGATTGTCCAGGAGCGCTCCAAGTGGCTCTTCATGGTCCCACACGGTCCACTAGCGATTGAAGACACCTGAGATGGTGTCCAGCTGGCCCACGACGCCCCCAAGGGGCCTCCAAGATGCGTCCCCAGAGGGTCCTTAGACGCAAAAAATTGCTCCTTTCCTTCGTACAACGTCTACTTTTCACTATGTCGCCTCGTCGGTTTTCCGAAGCTCGAAGGCGGCCCTCGAGGCCCCGAAGACCGCCCCAACACGGCCCCAGAGGCTCCCAAGACGGCCACACCACGGCCATCGATGGCCCCAAGACGGCCCAAGAGGTCCCCACGACGGCCCAAGAAGGCTCCAAGACGGCATCATCGTCATCATCACCGTTATCAACAACAACAGCAGCGTCGTCATCATCAGCAGCATCGACATCATCATCGTAGGTACTTCAATCATAATCATCATGTTCGTCGTCATCACATTCACCACCATCACCATCATCATATCCACCACCGACACCACCACCATCATCATCATCAGTTTCCCCACCACCTCCATCGGAAACGGATCGGATATCGCCACCGAGGATGCTTCCTCCTCCCTCACCCCTTCCCCCCTTGGAGAGGAATGGGTGTACCTGGCGCCGGATTCAACGCACCACGGGCCTCACGACGAACAGAAGGCCCCCACAGGGCTACCAAGAGTCCCAAGGGGTCGGCGGTGCGGCGTAAGCCCATGAATCTCAGAAGGCGCGAGGCTTATGAGAAGCCCCGCCGCCTTCTGAGAAGGCCTTTTCCGTTTCATTTCCTCCCCTCGCTCCCTCGCTCACCGCCGAGAAATGTTATACGGCTGGCGTTGGAACGATAGCGTGCAACATCGATGTCCGTCCGAAAAGCACGCTATATCTGCGAGGCGATCCCCCCGCGAGGGCCCCTCCCGTGCACGCTGTCCTCAAGCATGTCATCCCCCTCACCCTCCCCTTCCCCCTCCTCCTCCTCCTCCTCCTCCTCCTCCTGCTGATGCTGCTGCTGCTGCTCCTCCTCCTCCTCCTCCTCCTCCTCCTGCTACTGATGTTGCTGCTGTTGCTGCTGCTGTTGCTGCTGCTGCTGCTGCTCCTACTCCTCCCCCGTGTCCTCCTCCTCCTCCTCCTCCTCATCATCATCATCATCATCATCATCATCATCACCACCACCACCACCACCACCATCATCATCATCATCATCATCATCATCATCCTCCTCCTCCTCCTCTTCCTCCTCCTCCTCCTCTTCCTCATCCTCTCCTCTTCCCCCTATTCCTCCTCCTCCTCCTCCTCCTCTCCTCCTCCTCCTCTCCTCCTCCTCCTCCTCCTCCTCCTCCTCGTTGCGTAGAGAGCACGGCGCGACCCTCGGAACACCTGGGTGACCAGACGGACGAAAAACGACATAAACAGGAGCGCGATCGAAGAGCCACTTCCAGCCGAAGGGGTTTCTCAGCAGGAGGCTGTTCGGAACACCACCCATAAGCATGACCGCGTACATGATTGTTTAAACTACACCCAGGCGGCCTGTCGACATGATGCGCCCGCCACGCGGAACTCTGCGGGTCGCTAATGGCTGCTCAACCTCCCTGAAGGTCGGACATACCAGATAAAACTCCGCCCGGCACCAGGTTCCTGGACAGATAGTTGACATGCCCCGGCGACCCAAACCACCAACCCACAAAGCAGGAACATCAAGTCGAGAGCCAAAAACGCAACAGCTTCAGCAGCTGGCGGCGAGAATCCAATTAAGCACATCAAATACTGCTTCTGTCGAGCGACGCTTAGGCCGTGACCGACACGCGCATTGACGATGATGAGTGCGCCGCGCATACCCTTTCAGAGCAAGCCGGCGAACCTGCCCGCGCGAGATGATGGCGCGGCCACGCCGCACTTGCTGGGTAGCGAGAATGGCACAGCCTCCACTAGGAGCGTGAGAGAAAGGAAAGAAATCCACCGAGCCTTCGAGTCCTCACAGGTCACGAGAGGAGTCCCTGGACTCCTAGATACTGGCGAGACCGCAATGAACAAGGGGGCAATGCAGGATAGCCTGAAGAGCGAAAGGATCGGCCGAGGACGCCCCGAAAAACGAACAACCACTCCAAGAAACCAGAGAGGACTCGGCCGTAAAACTCAAACGGGAGCCGAGGAAAAGCGGCCCCCAGAAGAGGCGGAGGACGACGAACTGCTAGATGGCACGCGCGCAGCACGCCGCCCTGCCGACACGCGCCCGTCTGGCAGCGAAGACCTGCAGACCCGAATATTTGAACGCGTAGATGCTGTAAAAGTCGATGGCGACCCCTAGTGAACAACAGTGAGCCCAGGACTGCACATCATGCAGGCACACACTTCTGAGATGTTGTAACGGAATAGCATCTCGTACTCGGGCTCGACAGTCCACCGCTCGCGATCCTGTGCCTTGAACTGGAGAAGCTTGTCAACCTCGTCATCGATGACCTGGAACAGAAAGCCACGGAACCCATTGCATCCCAACGGCTAGTTTGCACAGCAATCACATGAGCTCGCCAATGCCCCTTGCATATCTGCCACAACTGCCCCAGCACCCGATGTTTAGCCCGCACAGCAGTGGGAGCGGCGAACCTGGCACGAAGGGAAACGTGCTGCTGATTTACGGTCGAACCACACGAGGCCGGTCTCTCTGGCCGCGTCGTGGAAACACTCCGCCCCGGCCTCAGACTTGACGACGTACACGAACCTCTTGGTGCGACTGCAGCTCATAGCTCTGGGCTGCTACCTCAATGTGAACCTTCTGCGGGAAGTGGTCACTGATGCTGCCAGCACACGCGTCAAGCACAGGCCTCAAAAAAGGGCCGAAGGCAACCACCAACCAACATATCTTTACGATCGCACTTGTTTCCTCCAGGGTTGGTCGGAGACGAAGCCGCTGACGCGAGGTAGGCGAGCGAGGGCCACCAGCTTGTACCCCACAGCAAACGTGCGTTCAGCAAGGTACTGGTCAGGGTCTCGATGATCTAGGCAACTTCATGCGCCTGTGCCTGCGCCGGCTGGTCAAGCTCGTGGCTCAGGATGTTGATATGGTCCTGCTGCGCCGAGGCATCTGCACACACGGCCTGGACCTGACAGGTTATTGCCCGCCCGATGCTGGCATTGTTGCCGGCCCGCCGGTCGATCTTGCTAAGGAGGCTGTTCCACCAGAACGGAGTTTGGTCTTCGTCGTCGCGACGTCCTCATCACTGCTCTGGCCAGACCTGGAATGGGAAGATTATTCAATGCTGCCTGTCGGCGGCAGACGACTGCGAGCGCCTCCACGCTTGCTGCGCCCATGGTAACGACCCCATGCAACTCTCAGCACTTGCATAGAAGCGACCACGATCACAACGCCATCGGCCAGGAGGGCCTGAAGCACGACCAGCCCTAAATGGATCAAACTGGGGAACACCAGTAGTCTGAACCGCTGACAAAACGATGCGGGCGGCCTGCAGGTCAGTGCTGGCTTGCCTTCCAAGCCAGAAGCGAAGCTTGGGCCAAACCCCCCGCTGCGACCAAGCTGAAGCCACGCACGCAGCGAGCCTTTCATATTAAGCCAAATAGGCTTGAGCCAAAACGGCTACGGAGAAGCTCACTCGGCAGGAGAGGGAGGCAAAGAAATGAGCCGATCCGCCCCCATTTCGATACCTGGCAGGTGCGCGCAGTCCTCCGTTGCAGCGGCGGCAGCTGCCTGCGACGGCCCATCAGCGCAGGCGGCAGGTGCAGTGGGAGAAGCACGAGAAGTGGCGGATGGCGAGCGGGCAACAGACACAGAGACATGGAGAGACAGCGGCGCAGAGGAGGAGGAGGAGGAGGAGGAGGGTCCGACCAGCAGCCGCAGCCGCCCCGCCCCCAGCCGCGGAGCGCCCGAAGCGCGTGCGCACGCCGCGGCGCTGCAGGCCCGCCGCCGCGGGGGCGACGCGCGGCGGGCCTCGATGCTGCCTCGGCGTGCTGTCGTCGTCGTCGTCGTCGACGTCGTCGTCGTCGCTGGGCGTCGTCGTCATCGTCCTCGTCGGCGTCGGCGTCGTCGTCGTCGGCGTCGGCGTCGGCGTCGGCGGCGGCGTGGGCATCGGCGTCGGCGTCGGCGTGGGCGTCGGCGTTGGCGTCGGCATCAGCGTCGGCGTCGGCGTCGGCATCGGCGTCGGCGTCGTCGTCGGCGTCGGCATCGGCGGCGTCGGCGTCCGCGTCGTCGTCCGCGTCGTCGTCGTCGTCGGCGTCGGCGTCGGCGTAGGCGTCAGCGTCGGCATCGGCATCGGCGTCGGCGTCGGTGTCGGTGGCGGCGTCGTAGCTGGGCTTGTTCGACGTCGTCGCCGCCGTCCTTCGTCGTTCTTTGTCGTCGTTGTCGTCGTCGCCGTCGTCCTTACTGTCGTCGTCGTCGTCTTCGTCGTCGTCGTCGTCGTTCGTCGCTCCTCCTCCCCCACCTCCTCCTCCTCCTCCTCCTCCTTCTCCTTCTCCTCCTCCTCCGCCTCCTCCTCCTCCATGATGGAGACGTGGATCACCTCTTTGCGCCTTCCTCTACTCCACCCCCTTGGCAATCCTCCGATCCTCCTCATCCTTTTCCTTTTCCTTTTCCTATTCCTATTCCTCTTCCTCTTCCTTCTCCTCCTCCTCCTCCTCCACCTCTTCCTCCACCTCTTCCTTCTCCTCTTCCTCCTCCTCATCCTCCTCCTCCTCCTCCTCCTCCTCCTCCTCCTTCTCCTTCTCCTCCTTCACCACCACCACCACCTCCTCCCCCTCGCGCGTCCGCCTCCGAGCCAGAACGGGGTTTCTGGGCGCAGTCTGGTACCTGGGCTGCCGCCGCTTGCCACGGAGTGCACGGGTGCGCCTTGTGATGCGTTGCGGTCGTGCTCCCCCCCGTCTCGCCCTCCTCCTTCCCCCAAGAATGCGCGCCGTCTCGCCCGGAGCCACCGCCGCACTGTCCTTTCCTCTCCCCTCTCCTTTCCTCTCCCTCCCTCCCTCCCGGTCCGCGCCGGGCTGGGTGAGGGTGGGCCGGGCCGGGTCCCTCTCCGTCCCCCTCCCTTTCTTCCTGCCTCCCGTCCCCCCCCCCTCTTGGCCCTGCGGAGGGGGCCGCCCGCCTCCCGCCGGCCGGCGATCGCCAACAGCCGCCGCCGCCGCCGCGGTCGTCGTTGTCGTTGTCGCGGTCGCCGTCGGTCGTCGCCGTCGCCGTTCGGATCGAGCCCGGTCTCTGGCGCCTCTGCCGTGCCCACTGGCCTGCTCGGGCGGGGGCCTCCGGGTGGACGGATCCGGCGCGCCGTGCCCGTGCAGGAGCGGGCCGTTCTGCCCGGGCTTTCCGGAGGAGGCGCTGCCCTGCCGCCAGCGTGGCCTGGCCGTGGGAGGTGTTCGGCAGCCGCCCGCACGCCAGCCGGAGTCCGCCACACAGCGGCACAAGCAGAAGCTTCTCGAGGTCCGCGCGAGCTGCTGTGGTCGGCGCAGGGTCCCTCTCGCCGCTGGCGCGGCCCCCGCGCGCCGGCCCGAGAAGTCCGCGCGGGCCCTCGATGGCGTTTTTGTTGCGTCCTTCCCACTGCTTTCTGGCTCCTGTTTCTGCCTTCGGATGCTCCGTGGACGGATATGGCCTGGTGGTTGCCCCTGAAGCCCGTGCGAGCCCTCTGGGATGCTGGCGGTCTCCGGAGGTCCCCGGGAGTTTCGCGAGGCTCGGACCAACCATGGGAAGTCGGCGGCCGCCTTTCCCTCTCCTTTTTCCATCCCTCCCTCTCGGTCGTTTCTGGCCGTGGTGGGCTGGGCTGGGCTCGGGATGGGCCGGGCCCTCCTCTCTCCGCCTCGATCGCCCGATCGGCCCCGCCCTCCAGTCGCACTCGGCTCGTCCTTCTTGCCTGCGCCCCTCCATTGCTCGACGGTGGGGTTGGGCCCGGCTGGGCTCGTCGCGGCCAAGCAGGATTGCCCCCTCCCCCTGGGAATGGCTCTACCCCCCCCGTCCTTCCGATCCCGAGCCTCGCACCTACGTCGTGCGATGGCAGGGCATCGGTCGAAAGGTCACGCAAGAGCTCCAATCGCCGAGGGCCTTCTTGGCCCCCCCCATTGGCCAGTTCCTACTACTGCGGCTCAACTATTGCCTGGCCTGCGACAACCTGTGGTCGGGGTGGATCTGGACGGAGCGGAGGCTGATGTCCTGGGCGGGCTCTACCCTGGGTCGCCGCGGGGTCGCGCACGGTCACCCCCCCAGAGACCTGGCGCCCCCCACGGAAAGGCGGCCATGCATGAGGCCACCGCTCCCTCCCCTGGAGGACCAAATCCAATCCAATCCAATCCAATCCACTCCCCCTCCTCCTCCTCCTCCTCCTCCTCCTCCTCCTCCTCCTCCTTCTCCTCCTCCTCCTCCTCCTCTTCCTCCTCCTCTTCCTCCTCCTCCTCCTCCTCCTCCTCCTCCTCCTCCTCCTCCTCCTCCTCCTCATCATCATCATCATCATCATCATCATCATCATCATCATCATCATCATCATCATCATCATCATCATCGTCATCATCATCATCATCATCATCCTCATCATCATCAGCATCATCATCGTCATCATCATCATCATCATCATCATCGTCAGCATCATCATCACATCATATCATCATCATATCATCATCATCATCATCAGCAGCAGCAGTATCATCATCATCATCATCATCAGCAGCAGCAGCATCATCACCACCACCACCACCACCACCATCATCATCATCATCATCATCATCATCATCATCATCATCGTCATCATCATCATCATCATGATCATCATCATCATCATCATCATCATCGTCACCATCGTCATCATCATATCTTTAACATCATCATCATCACCACCACCACCATCATCATCATCATCATCATCATCATCATCAATATCAGCATCATCATCATCTTCATGTTCGTCCTCATCCTCATCCTCATCCTCATCCTCATCCTCATCATCATCCTCATTATCATCCTCATCATTCGCATCATCGTCATCATCATCAGCATTATCAGCATCATCATGATCCTCCTCCTCCTCCTCCTGATCATCCTCATCTGCATCATCATCCGCAGCAGCTGCAGCATCAGAATCATAATCATCATCATCAGCATCCGCATCATCAGCATCATCATTATGATCATCATCATCATCATCATCATCATCGTCATCAGTAGCAGCAGCAGCAGCACCAGCAGTATCATCATCAGCATCAGCATCAGCATCATGATCATCATCAGCAGGAGCTGCAGCTGCAGCATCAGCGTCATCATCATCATCATCATCATCATCATCATCATCATCATTATCGTCATCATCACCATCATCATCAGCATCATCATCGTCATCATCAGCAGCACCAGCATCATCATCAGCATCAGAAACAGCAGCAGTAGCACCAGCATCAGCATCAGCATCATCATAATCAGCATCATGTTCATCATCATCACCATCAGCATTATTGTCATCATCGTCATGATCAAAATCGTCATCGTCGTCATAATCGTCATCGTCATTTCCATCGTCAGCTCCACCATCATAATGAAAAGCATCATCGTTATAACCATCATCCGCATCATCATCTGTATCACCATCATCATCATCCGCATCATCATCAGCAGCATCCTCATCATCATCATCATCATCATCATCATCATCATCATCATCATCATCGCCATCATCATCATCAGCATCATCATCATGATTACCAGCATTATCAGCACCATGATTATCATTATCATCATCAGCATCATCATCGCCATCCTCATCATCATCATCATCATCATCATCCTCATCATCATCATACTCTTCATCATCGTCATCATCATCGTCGTCACCATTACCACCATCATCAGCATAAGCGGCATCAGCATATGCATATTCCTTGTCATCTGTCTCGTCATCTGCATACTCGTAGTCATACTCGTAGTCATCATCGTGACCATCATCACCAGCATTATCAGAAGCATAATCATCATCCTCGTCGTTATCACCTTTGGCATTATCATCAGCAGCATCAGCCTCATCATCATTATCAGCATCATCTTCATCATCATCAGCATCATCGTTATCATCCAGGGCTCTCGCTTGATACTTCTTCGGAACCCATACCGCAAAACTTCACGATATGCCACGGCTGCACGCACAGAAAGCGATTGCATTCCAGAATGGGGCCATCGCCGGATGCAGCTCCCCGCGGCTCCTCTATCCGGGGGGAGGATCGCAACAGCTGCGCAGATGGAAGGCGACTCGTGTTCAATGCCGGATTTCGCTCGACACTTCTGTTGATACCGCTTGTATCTGGACATTTCTATCACGCAACCTCAGAAGTGGAGAGCGGCTCCTTC